ACACAAGATGATACCACTGGTGGAGGTAAGAAGATTGTTAACACACAGTCGGGAGTACTCCTGGAAATCAAAAAGAGAGCCACAACAGCTGACGTTCAATGCAACATTTTTATTGTATCAGATGCTCTCCTCAACTTTGCCAATAGAGATCTATCAAGTATTCAATACTAACGGTAAAGCATAGAGATGCAACTATTCAACATGCTCATAGTAGGAATGACTGGAAGTGGAAAGACTCAGTTCTTACTTAATATGTTAGAAACAGAGTACAATAGAGTATTCGATTATATTGTTATTATATGTCCAACCATAGAGTGGAATATGACTTACATTAATTGGACTCATATTAGTGACCATGGAGTTATTCATATTCCATGCTCGCAAGAAATGATCGATCTTATTCTCAAGGCAGTGTCCACCATATTCCGCGGTACTCAGACTTTAATTATTGTGGACGATTGTGCGGCAAGTCAAGATGTAAAGAAAAGAGTCTCAGAACTGGTGCGCCTAGCTTTCTTCGCAAGACATTACAATTTATCTGTTATTGTAATTACCCAACAATTATCATCAGTAGCAAAACCATTCAGGGAAAACATTTCCAGGCTAGTTACATTTTACAACCCTAGTCGCAGGGATATGAAGGTCATAACAGATGATTACCTAAGTGGTGTTCCTCAGGAGACAATAGCAGAGATTACGAAGATATTAAAAGATGAGAAGTTCACCGCACTGGACGTACTACTTATTCACCCTTACACATACACTGTTAAACTAGACACCACGTAAAATATAGATGATGGGAACTGAATCTGAGGAAGAAATATTTGAGGCTGTAAGAGAAGTAGAGGAGGCCGCAAAGGTGCCGCATAAAAAAAAGCAAGAAAAACTAAGTCTACCGCAGATAAGTCGCAAACTGAACACAAGAGGGACAAGCTTATAGAGCTATCGAGGGATGGTATAATAGAGAAGTCCGCAAGTTTTATAAGAAAGTCTAACAAGTATGTTGTAGATAGACTATACCAAGAGTATGAAAGTCAAAGGATGTCATGTGCAAGTGACTTCTTATCAACACTTATTATTTCAAAGTTTGCTGCGGTATTAGGAAGTTTTGGTGCAGTGGAATCATCAGAGAAACTGTCAGAGGAACTACTTAGTGACAAGCTTTTGAAGGACGACGTATCATATCTAACCAGAACGATATCCCCCAACATTCCATTCATAGGCCTCATATCTGGTGGCTGTACAACAGCTAAACATGTAGTTGCCCATAAGTGGAGTAAAAAGGAGGAACCTGAGGAAGTGTCTGAGGAAGCTAAACATATGATATTACATACAGAATGTCGCGATACGACTGGGACGAAACAGAATTCGAATCAATTATTGACGAGTTGATTGAGAAAACTGACAGGAACAAGGAACAGCTAGACAAGATTCAGGCAACCCTGGATTCATTAGAGAGAGATCATGATGCCCTCAAGAACAAGATAATAGGTCCACTACAATATGAATTCGAAGCTTTTAAAATTGACACAATAAAAACAGTTGTAAAGATATACAAGAATCTAAATGAAAAATAGTTTTTTGTAATAGGAAGTATACGACAGTGGGAAGCAGCTGGGTTTGGGATAGGGGAATGCTGCTTCTGAATTAAACCAAAAATTGACAGATAAAATAGCCTAAAAAATTTTACATATATAGTATAGGGAAGATGGAGAAACTATTTAGGAACCAAAAGTTGAATGTTAGTGTGAGAACCATTAAGAGCGGTGAGGAGATACTGTTTTATGCAAAAGATGTGGCGGAATCCTTAGGGTACTCAAATACGAAAAAAGCAGTTAGAAACCATGTTTGGGAAGAGGATAAGTGCACAATAGGATCCATCCAAAGGGGGGTCCCTCGAGGGACCCCCCTTGAACGGTCAGCCTGGTACCATTTTAATCACCGAACAGGGTTTGTACCAACTAATATTTGGATCGGAGCTCAACACAGCAAAGGAGTTCAGAAGGTGGGTATTCAGTGAGGTGCTTCCATCTATCCGTAAAACAGGCTCATACGAATTACCAGATAGAAGGTCACTCAGGTATAACCAAATGATCCTCATAAATGAAACGGACCTTCATCATACAGTTGTGAGTTACATTAGGAATAACCGCCCTGAGGCTGTAATAATACCAGGTCTTGGTGAGTACCAGGATACAGTGTCAAAGAGATGTGATGCCTGGAAGAAGGGTTATAAAGGTGGTCAGCCAGATCTTATTATAGAGAACCCTATGGGGAAGTACACAGGATTTGCAATTGAATTTAAGTCTCCTAAGGGCACTGGAACTACAAGTGAGAAGCAAATCCTATGGCTTAAGAGACTGAGGGAAATAGGATACATGACAGTGATATCCGACGACTTGATTCAAATTTGTATCAAAATTAACGAGTACTTCTCACTTAGGAAGAAAGTTAAAACAGTAAGGGTGAAGAATGTAGTTGGGGATGTAAAGCTGTACAAGCCAAGGTTCAAATCACACAAGTACTAGTTTAGTGCCAAGTAGATTTGAGACATCTTGCAAGTAAATTCAATTAAGTTATCTCACCAGTTATCTCACCAGTAGATTTAAGTTATCTTACAAGTAGAATTGAGTTATCTTGCAAGTAAATTCAAGTTATCTCACAAGTAGAATTCAAGATATCTCATAAGATGAAACCAAGTTAAACCTAAGGTATCTTACAAGTAGAATGGAAGATAAACCTGAGCAAATTCAAGTACCAGTAACAAGTGAAAAGAAGAAGGACCCAAAAAGAGTAGCTGCAGGGAAACGACTAGCTGCAATCAGTAGAATAGCAAAGGAGAGGAAAAAGAAACTGGCTGAACCTAGGGAGTCACCTAGCAATGATAGTATGATTACCTACATAGGAGTGGCCATTGCATTGATATCTCTTGTGCTAGCATATAAAACACATCAGAGGGAAACTAAGGAACTAGAACCTGAGTTCATCCCTAAAACTGTAGAAGTAACTAAGAAAGCTGATGAGTCCAAGTTAGATTCACTTGAATGATACATTAAACATACCATATATTATAGCAAGATGAGTAAAGAATCAAAGATGACTATGGAAGTGTACAACGCAGTGTTACTTACAGCAGGAGCAGTTGGTATATCAATGGCATCAAAGAAACTATTGAAAGAACCATTAGGTACCCCAGATAATGTAAAAGGAATGGTGAAGTTAGCTGTCTCAGTTAGTCTTTCATCTCTACTGGTGTCTTACTTGAAAGAAAAGAAGTATCTACCGGATGATCCATTCAAAACCTAGGTAAAACTATACAATGGCGGGAGCAGTAGCAGGAGGACTCTTTAACGCATTTGCATTTGCGGGAGCAGGATACTTATTTAAGATGTTTGACAAGAATGGATATGCTGAGGAAGCTCATAGACATAACCTTGCAATGGAGAACCTAGCAGCTGAAAGAGAGAAGTACCTCGAAGAGGTCACTGATAGGAGAAATAGGATTGCCCAACTGAAGTCAGAACTAGCTGAGGCAAATAGGGATATTAAGTCAACGAACCAGTCATTAGAACTCGTTAGAAGAATCAATGAGTTAAAACGCAAGCCTATGCCAGGGAAGCCGCAATTAAGTAATCACTACAAACCTAGCTCCGAGATGAAAGAATATATGGCAATATTTGGTTTAATTACAGGTGGGGTGGTTGGAGGGGCAGCTTATTTAATTCTATAGAAAATGCCACAAAAATTTTTACACTAATAGTATAGGAAAATGGATTGGCTTCAAATGGTAACACCTGAGGAAGTAGTAGTCCTGGGAAAAAGGGTAGACACAATAGAAGAGTTAGAAGCTGCAGTTAAAAAGTGGGTGGAACTAAGAATAATAAGAAGACGTTTAAATACACCCCGAAAATCAGCAGAAAATTTTCACACTAATAGTATAGGTAAATGGACTGGCTTCAAACAGTGACACCAGAGGAAGTAGTACTAGTAGGCAGGAAACTAAACACCATAGAAGAGCTAGAGGTATCAGTAAGAAAGTACGTGGAGGGAAGAATAAAGAGAAAACACATATATGATCCAATATGCAGCGAATGTGGAAGTAAGTCTATTGTAATGATAGATGGAGCAGATGCATGCACACAGTGTGGAACAAGTGATATGAATAACTTCTCATACTACGTTAGTTACAACTACAACAAGGACGACTATCTGAAAAAGAAGTCTTGTCATAATAGAGTCCGTTGGTTTGAGAGGCACTTATTCGAACATGTTGCTTCTAGGGATAGGGACATCATAAGGGAGCAGTTTAGAAGCATAGTAAGATGTATACAGCGGGGGCGCAACATAGTTAGATACAAGTTTTACCTACTGAGGATAGCCAGCATGAATGGTATTTCCCTGAAGAACCCTCCCGAGGACATTAAGACCCAAAGGATTGTGGACATCCTTGAGGATAGGTTGTATGGAAAAGTTTTTGTTGAGCTTGGATGGAAACCTGAGAATTGTAAATATTATAATAACTGGAAAAGTAAAAACACTTAAAGAAACATTAATATAATAAATCAATAGAATTAAATCAAAAATAAAAACACTTAAAGAAATATAATAAATCAATATAATTAAATCACTTAAAGAAATATTAATATAATAAATTAATTGAATTAAATAATAAATTAAATAAAAAATAAAAACACTTAAAGATATACTGATATAATAAATTAATAGAATTAAACAATAAATTAAAAATAAATTCGAAATAAATTATTAATTAAATACCCGAATTTATTTTTACATATATAGTATAGAGGAACTGACAGAAAAATATGGCGAGTTATTTTGATATGAACGAATTCAGCGTAGAACAGCTTATGGCTCTCAACAGTATCATAGATAGTGACAACGAGATCGATGAAAGAGTAGAGGCCATCATGGCCGACAGAAACTACAGGATTGTACCTGATGATAAGGGCAAAGATCCCTTTGAAGGAGAAAGACAATTCATAGATGAAGTTGACCGTGATATGGAGGTAAAGAAACCAAGACGTCTTCCTTTGAACTATAAGGGTAGAAGAGGAATTATGCCAACGTGGAAGTACTCTGAGAGGCAAAAGGCAAAGGCCCTACTTGTAGAGGAGGCATACCAAAGTTTACTATCAAAGGGCGTTCAGGGATTACCACCAACAATGGGAGGTAGATGGCGCGCAGATGATCCTCAAGTAAACGAGGAAATCAAGAGGATTGAAAATCAAAGGAATCCCAAGACTAAGCGTCCCAGAGGTAGACCACCAAAGGCAAAAACCGACCCCGAAGTTAAGGTTCCCAAAAAGAGAGGTAGACCACCAAAGGTAAAGTCCGATGCTGAAGTGAAGATTCCTAAGAAGAGAGGTAGACCACCAAAGGCAAAGTCTGATGCTGATCGAAGTGAAGGTTCCCAAAAAGAGAGGTAGACCACCAAAGGCAAAGTCTGATGCTAAGGTTAAAAGGCAAACTGTAGCTGAAAGATTCCTGAGCCAAAGGAAGGTAAAACTCTCAGTGCCTGCCGATAGTGTCATAACCCCAATAGGTCCAGGTAAGTTCACAATTCACGTGGATCTTAATAAGAGACCTGTGAGGAAAGCTCCTGAGGTGCCTAAGGGTGTAGCTCCATGGAGACCGATACCTAAGCCTAGAACGGTACTTCCTAGGGAAAGACCTGTACCACTATTAAAGTAGTGTCTCCCCCTAAGTTACGTAAGCCTGTAAGAGTGTCGAGGGAAGTTAAGGAGCAGCCTATAGTGGTTACACCAGAGGAACACGAAATCGATCCATTTGGAACATACCTTGAAAAGCCATTCCATAGGAAAATCGAAACAGCCGCAAATGGAGCCGCTGTGACTTACTCGATAACTCCTCATTATATGGACCCTCTGGACCAGATGACTGCAAGTAGACAGGTAGTGAGAGGAATACTTGTTAACGAGTTGAAGAGAATGGGTGGGTTGAAGTACACAGAGACTCTGAAGGTGAGAATGTCAAAGGAAATTGGTGACGGGAAAACCAAGAAGGACTCGGTCTACTTCAAATCTAAGACTGGTACTGCAACTAACTTCGAGGACATTGAAAGTACTGCTCCTCAAAACCAACTGACAATATTGTCCAGAATTGAAACCTTCCAAAACTTAGGTTCAAACTGGATTATACTCAATATTGAGAGTCATTACGTAAACATCGCAATGTACAAACCATTAAAGGGTAGTTCATATATGAAACTTCCAGGGGACATTAGTAATCCAAACTGTGGGCTCATCAATATGAAGAACAATGACAACATGTGTTTCCTGTGGAGTCATGTGAGACATCTGAATCCTAAGGCTAGGAGGGCAACCACTATCACACAGAAAGACAGGGAATTCATAACGAACCTGGATTACAAGGGTATAGACTTCCCCGTGAAGATAAGTGACATCGATAAAATTGAGAGGAAAAATAGTATCAACATATCGGTGTTCGGTTACAAGGGTAAGAAACAGTTCTACCCCATAAGGAACTCAAAGGCTAAACATGATGAGCATATGGAGCTTCTACTCCTAGGTGATAGTGAAGGTAACAGCCATTATGTGCTCATAAAGGATGTAAACAGGATGCTCTTCAGTGTAAGTAAACATACAAATAAGAAGCACTTCTGTCTACACTGTCTTCATAGTTGTGTGAGTGAAGAGGTACTGGAGAAGCATAAGGAAACATGTCTGGAGGTAAATGGAACTCAGGCCGTAAATCTTCCCAAGGAAGGGACAAAAATCAAGTTCAAAAATCACAGGAACTCAATGCCTGTGCCGTTTGTGATATACGCTGATTTTGAGTCTATACTGGTGCCCGAGGAGAGAAAGGTGGAGTCAGAAAACCCTGAGGACAAAAGTAGTACAGACCTTTACCAGACACACAAGGCTTGTAGTTTTGGTTTGAATACTGTCTGCCATTATGATGACAAGTACTCTGGTGAGTATAAGAGTTACGTTGGAGAGGACGCTGCACTGGTATTCCAGAAGACTGTATTGAAAGAGTCCTTCAGATGTAGAGAGATGGTCAACAATATATACAAGAAAAAGATGATAATTACACCTAAACAAGAAGCTGAGTTCTGGATGGTAAGAAACTGTTCAATATGTGGTAATGATCTTGGTGAGGACAGAGTAAGAGACCATGACCATGTAACAGGAATGTACCGTGGAGCTGCTCATAATATATGCAATCTAAAGTACAGAATTACATGGAAAGTGCCTGTGGTCTTCCACAACCTGAGAGGTTACGACAGCCATCTGATTATGCAGGAAATTGGTAAGTTTAAGATGAACATCAACGTGGTTCCAAATAATATGGAAAAATACATCTCATTCTCACTGGGTAAAAATCTGGTCTTCATAGACTCTATACAGTTCATGGCTTCTTCACTGGAAGCGCTGGTAAGTAACCTTTCACCTGAGGACTTCAGAATAGTAGGTAAGAGGTGGAAGGGTGAGGACTTCAATCTAGTAACACAAAAAGGAGTGTTTCCATATGAGTTCCTCGATAACATTAGCAAACTCAATACAGAAGGTCCTCCGAGTAGGGATAAGTTCTACTCTTCACTGTATGAGTCAGAGGTGAAGGAAGAAGATTACCAGAGAGCTCAAAAAGTATGGGATCACTTCACGATGAAAACCATGAGAGACTACCACGATCTCTACTTGGAGACTGACGTTTTTCTACTAGCTGATGTGTTTGAAAACTTCAGGAGAACAAGTCTGGAAAGTTATAAACTTGACCCCGCACATTACATGTCAGCACCTGGTCTAAGCTGGGACGCTTTCCTGAAAAAGTCAGGTGAAGAAATAGAACTTGTAAGTGATATGGATATGTTTCAGTTCTTCGAGAAGGGTATGAGAGGTGGTACAAGTTATATTGCTCATAGACACTCCACAGCTAATAATAAGTACATGGAGACGTATGACGAGTCGTCTGAGAACAAGTACTTGATGTACCTCGATGCTAATAATTTATATGGCTGGGCAATGTCACAATCACTCCCAAATGGAGAGTTTGAGTTGGTTGAGGAATTCGATGGTATGAATCTAGACGACTACCTTGAGGACAGCGAAAGATGTATGATTTTAGAGGTTGACCTAGACTATCCAGAAAAACTTCACAATCTACATAACGGTTATCCTTTAGCACCAGAGAGTAAGGAAATTGATTCTTCCATGTTGTCAGATTATGCTAAAAGTATTGCTGAGAAATTCCAGCTGAAAATTGGAGGTGTAAAGAAACTTGTAACTTCACTAGGTCCAAAGAAGAACTACGTCTTACATGTACGTAATCTGAAACTGTACACAGACCTTGGGATGAAACTCACGAAGGTCCATAGAGCGGTTACGTTCAAGCAGTCTCCCTGGCTTAAGGACTATATAGACTTCAATACGAAGAAAAGGTCTGCAGCCCGTAACACGTTCGAAAAGAACTTCTTCAAGTTGATGAACAATTCGATTTATGGAAAGACTATGGAGAATCTTAAGAAAAGGGTTGATGTGAAATTAGTGTCCTCCAAAGACTACCTCCTGAAACTGACAGCGTCACCGTGCTTCCAGTCACATCGAATCATGAATGAGAATCTTGTAGTGGTAAAGAGGATGAAAGAAGTTCTAACGCTAAATAAACCGTGTTACGTAGGAATGAGCATCTTAGACTTATCCAAGACCTTAAGTACGATTTCCACTACAACACCATCAAGAGGGAGTACGGTAACAGCTCAAGGCTACTGTTCACTGATACTGATAGTCTGATGTATGAACTGAAGACGGATGATGTTTATGAGAACTTTAAAAGAATTGGTGAAGAGCAAAACTGTTGGGATAATTAGGATTACCCAAAAGATTCTCCGTACTACTCAACTCACAACAAGAAGGTCATAGGTAAGTTTAAGGATGAAGCTGAAGGAGTACCTATAATTGAGTTTGTTGGGTTGAGGTCAAAAATGTATTCCTATGTAAAGGAAAACGGTGGAGGTGGAATGACTGCTAAAGGAGTTAAAAAGTATGTCATCAGAAACAAGCTCACTCACGAGAACTTTAAGAATGTAATTAATACGAAAGGTAGGATGAGACATAATATGAATACAATCAGAAGCGTAAAGCATACAATTGGAACTTACGAATTGAAGAAGGTTACTCTGAGTTGCTTTGATGATAAAAGGTATCTTTTGGAGGATGGAGTTACCAGTTATGCTTATGGTAACAAGAACATAAAAAATAGTGACTGAGAAGTTCCCACAGAGTAGAAAGTAATAATCCTAAAGCGTAAATAAGCAGGAAGGGCCCCCTGCCTTGTGTACCCCCAAGGAGAGAATAAAAGTTGTCGAAAAGTCTTTGGAATAGGAAGGTTGGACGATATTGGGAAAGTGTAGGATAATCATATTAGAGTCTCAGCTGAGATAAGTTAAATGAAAAACAATAATAGCAGTTTCACATTCTAATAAATGTACCAACCATTAATTTTAATATAATAAAAATAAATACTTTTCAATAAAGATAAAAAACTGATGGTCTAGAAAAATGGCAATGGTCTAGAAACCTCAGTTCCTATACTACTGCAGTGATGTCTGATTACTGTTTTAAAACAATTGTTAAGTACAGTATGTTCTAAACCACATATTACGTATATTTTAGCAGAAGCAACTTGCTCGAATTTATGTATTTTAAAAAAATAACCCTATCACTCTAAATTTGGCACTGCATTTTTCAGATATTAGAAATCTTGTGTTTATTAGGTAATACATTTCGAAACGAATCTCAATTTCACAAACCCGTTCATGTCATGAAATTTTTGATAAATATTGATTGTTTGGGTAAATTTAGAATTAAACAAAAGTTTTGGAAAGATAAATTTTCCTGAGTAGGTGGTGTCTTTTTTAGGTGCATTAAAATTGGCTTGCGTGCGAAATTTCAAAGGTTAAAACGCATTTTTAGTTCATCGGCGAGAAAATGGTTATGTGCTTTATTAATTAATGATCCAAATATCAGAACTTTTTCTCAGTTTTAAGTCATTTAAATAGCTCCTGCAACTTTCATTTTTGGCATCAATACCAAGCACACATGCTTATATGCATGCCTTTCCCTAATTTGCATATTGTTATTTACTTCTTTTACAATAGCAATATGCAAATTAGATAAATGCATGTATGAATTAAACACACTTGGAAGGCATTGGAGCCAAATAATTAAAGTTTCAGTTGCTATTTGAAGGACGTACGATTGAACAAATTTTCTGATATTTGAACAATTCATAAAACACGTAACTAATTTCTTGTCCAAAAAATCAAAACGCGTTTTAACCTTTTAAATTTCACGCGCAGCTATTTTTAAAGCTGACAAAAAAAGGCATCTTCCCTACTCTGGAAAATTAATCTTAACGAAAATGTTTTGTTTATTCTACATTACAAGAACCAAAACAATCTATATTTATCAAAAATGTCATGGCAGCTACGGATTTCAAAATTGACAGCCGTTTCAAAATTGTCTACTGTTTTCCAATACACCCTGTAGAACCTATATAGAGTGATTTTGAACTTACACAACCCAATTAACATACTGTTAGCCCAATATAAGCCTATAGCGTTTATCCCAATTAACACTTAATCAGTCTCTAAAGTACAGAGTAATTGTTTTTTGCAATCCTGCTCAGTATCATTGGTACAGTACATGGTAATGTCAATATTTTATAATAATAATAATAATTACAATATTTAATCAGGGGGTCCACTCACGAAAGTGATTTTCAGTGAAGCCCTGATAAAAGAAAAATTTAAAAAAATAAAATAAAAGAATAAAAATATAAAACTAACAAAAGTGAATATATGAAAGGTTAAATTGTATAAAGTTCTTGCGCATCCTATCAGTTCGGTGGGGTGTCCTATGGCTATATAGCTAAATGTTTCTTTAGTTTAGTTTTAAAAGTTTTAATTTGACGTATATTCTGGAGTTCCACAGGCAGACTATTCCAGTCGTTGGCAGCATGCTAGCTGAATGCCTGCTTCCCCTAGTTCTTCTTCACGCGTTCCAAATGTATGTTCTGTTTGTTTCGAGTGTTATAGCTGTGGATGTCAGAGGAGAACTTGAAATTCAATTTAAAATCGACGTCATTGTTTAAAGCCTTGTGCATGATTAGACAACGATGAAAGTGTCTACGTGTTGTTAACGGCTGCCAATTAAACGATCCTAGGGATTCTAATGCTGACGAGAGTGGATGAGCGTCAAGAATGATTTTAGCGGCTTCGTTGTGCAGAACTTGAAGGTTGTTCATCAGGACAGAGTTGTTTTTATCACCCCACACAAAATCAGCGTAATCAAAATCGGCATGACAAGGCTGTTTACTAGAATACGACGAGATACAACTGTTAGGAGGTGCTTAACTCTTCGTATGATACCAAGACGTTGATTAACTTTGGTAAAGAGTGCTTCAATATGATCTGACCACGATAATGTCTGATTTAAGGTTATACCAAGATACTTAAATGATTCAACACGATTTAGTGGGCTATTATTAATAAGTAGATTTATATTTTGTTGTTTGGCAAGTTTGGCATTACCTCCGAAAACCATAAATTTGCATTTAAAAGTATTAAGAACTAAACAGTTAGCACCAAACCAACGAGATAAGTTCTGCAGGTCAGAGTTTAGCTTTTGTTCCAATTCAATCGTGGTTTTAACTGAGCAAAACAGGACGGTATCATCTGCATACAGGGAAATGTCACAGCTGTTAACAGTGGCGGGAATTTCATTCACGTAAATGAGAAACAGTAAAGGACCCAGTATACTTCTTTGGGGTACTCCGACATGTACTGGTTGAGTGGACGACTGTTCAAGGCCAATAGAAGTGACTTGAAAACGATTAGAAAGATAAGAAGAAAACCAGTTGATTGTGGGCTCTGAAAAACCAATAGTACCAAGTTTCTGTATGAGAAGATCGTGACTAACCGTGTCGAAGGCCTTCGAAAGATCTAAGAAAACTGCACCGGCGATAGAACCTTTGTCTAAATTATCCAGAATGTTGTCAGTGAAGTAGGTGAGAGCAATTGCCGTGGAGAGTTTTGGGCGGAATCCAAATTGTTTCGGGATCAGGATATTTTCACGAAATAGATAGCTATAGACTTGACTATTAACAGCTCTTTCAAGTATTTTGCTAGCAGTTGGTAGAATAGTTATTAATCTATAATTATTGGCATTGCATCGGTCGCCGGATTTGCATAATGCAGTTACTTTTCCACATTTCCAAACAGCTGAGAAGACGGAGGTTGCTAGTGAGCGGTTGTAAAGTTTAGTCAAACTTGTTGTGATAACGTCAGCGGAGTCCTTTAGCAATCTGGCACTGATGTTGTCCAAACCTATCGCTTTGTTTGTTTTAAGACTTTTTAGTTTGGCTTTAACAAAACACTCATCGATTACATCAAAAGCAAACATTACGCCAGATTCAAGATGGTCTTTACAAACGGCAGCAGTGATTGTTGACGTAACTGAGCGAAATTCATTAACGAGTGTTAAACCAATAGTCGAAAAATGATTATTGAGAATTTCGGAGATTTGCCTGGGTTCGGTAGATGGAGTTCCATCGACTTCAATACATGAAATGTTCGAGCTCGATTTACGTGAAGTAATTTCATTGAAGTATTTCCAGAAAGTATTTGGATTATTTTTAGAGATTTCAATAAGATTAAGGTAGTATTCCGATTTACTCTTTTTGACTTGTCTATTTACGTGGGATTTCAAACTTTTGTATTTGGACCAGTCAGAAGAAGAATTAGTTTTGGTAGCTTTACGGAAAGAGCGGTCGCGTTCCTGCATAGATGTTTTCAACTCGGATGTCATCCAAGGAACATGACAACTTTTTATCCTAGTTCGTAGGGGCATGACGTTCTGCAACATCTAAGAACAGCTTATTCCAAAAGTTTACTGCGGTATTAATATCGGGGATTTCATCAACAATATTCCAGTCTACGTTCCTGAGCTCATCCAGAAATGCTTCTTTAGAGTAATGTTAATAGGAAGTATATTCGATTGTTCTCGCAGGACTCTTTGTTACACCAGCCTTGACAACGCAGTAAATGAGGGAGTGGTCGCTGATATGTATCGGTAACACACAATGTGACTAGAAGTGTTTCTTTTGGCAAGGACGTCAACGTTAAAGTCACCGAGTAAACTGACTAGTTCAACGTCCTGGGGCTCGATAGATTGACCAGATGAGCATGTTTTTACATTTCGGCCGATTGAGTTCAAGGACACAAGACTCTGTGTTCTCATCTTACAAGTCAGGCCGTGCTCGATAGGGTAAGCCATCACGAATATAAATCATGCACCCACCACCTTTTTTTGCTTTTACGGTCATTTCTGACAAAAGAATAACCTTGAATATTTAGTTCAGGATCAGATATGTTTTTGGTTAACCAGGTTTCGGAGATGGTCAGGACATCGAAAGGGTTATTAAGTAAAAGAAGGCGCAGTGAATCTATCTTATTAGTTATGCTTCTTACATTTAGATGTGCAATTTTAAGTCCACGGTTACTTGGAAAACCAATGTCACTAAAATTCTGCGAATCTTGAGAGATATTGGCAGGTCCAGGGTTTCGGCTGACGTCTCCAGCTAGGAGTACAAGGGAGTAAGCACATAAACCAGCGTTTAGAAGTTTAATTCCGGCACTAACTTTAAAGGATGGTGATATATTCGGGTGATTTAATTTACGGGGACATCCACAATTCCTGTTTGGATAACTTGCGATATCAGCACCCATAGATATCACCAGCGAAGCGTCTGGAGTGACCACGTTCCATGAGTTACACGAGTTGAGGACAATGAAAAGGAACAATACCAGCATGAGTGAAGAAAGTCAGAAGGCAATACATGTCTCGACATAATGTCTAGATATGAAAGGTCTCGTATAAGTTATTAATTGAGGTCAAGTACTAGACAATTGTACTTAGCTTCAACACAAACAGTTAGTTGTTGCCACGGTAACTGAGACGCCACGAATTATTCAAAAATCCCAACGGTCAAAATAAGGTATACAACGCGATAATCCAAGCTGTCTTCAATAAAATAAAGTACAATTTTAACAGAAGACTAGGAACACACAATTTCACAGAGAGAATTCCAAAAAGATCGATCCAGTGAATACAGAAAGATAAAATTCCACAATATACGCCGTCAGTAAATATACATGGACTATACCAAGAAAACAAACCACGATAAATTAGCGAAACGATAATTTAGCAGTGTAAAAATAAATTCATAGAACCATAGGATATTTATATATTAATTGAATTCAATATATATGTCGATACGAAGTGTTTTGAAGTATTAACTGGTAAAAAATACGGAGGTTAGCTGTACCCGGCCTGTTAATCTTTGTAACCTGATATTATGAACCATTAATTCACAGAATGTGACTGTCTTGAAGTTTTATCTCTTGATATTATTCTTATCACCATTCAGCATTACTTAATATTTTCAAATTACATTGTAATTTAATTTAAATTCCTATATTGCTAGTCCTACATGCCTTCTAATCAACTTCAGTTCCTGTGAGTATTTAATTTTCCTTTTCACACATATAACTGAAAATGGTGCGAGCAACACATGTTTGCAGTAGCTATAATTAATGATGGTAATAGAACGAATAGGAGTGCTATTAATGCCATAATCATACGAGTGATTACAAAATCAACCGACCGCGTAGCGGGAGGTTGATTTGTTAATCACGAGTATGATTATGGCATTAATAGTACGACTTAATTCGTTCTATTACGTATTAATTATTTATCTTCTGTAATCAAACTGTTTAAGGGGGAAAAGCAGAAAAATACAATTTGTTGAAATTCAATATAATTTTTAAATTTTTGTCACGACAATTCTTAGTGAAATAGTACAATTTTGAATTATTATTTATCATATATAATCAAATTAACATATTATTAACTTCCGGGCATTATTTCCGGTATAACCACATGACAACATTTGTTTGAATTATTCAACACACAATTGGGAAGCTATGTTTGTATGTTTATAACGTGTTCAAAATAGTGAAGTTCTTTAGTTCAATTAATCATCTGAATTGGATTGTGTCTAGTTCGGTGTCTTCTGCTGGATGAACAGGTAGGTCATTTTCGTCAGAAAATATATAATTTAACAACCCTCGAAAACGAGATCGGCATTCGGCAATGCCGACCTTCAAT